CGTTGTAGAATTCTGTAATGTCGATGTCTTTGTATTTACGTGATGTAACACTTTTCTTTTCGGCACAAGGTTTAGTCAGGGGAAGTTTGAATATAACAGCATAATGATCAGATATGGCAAGGTCGCTAATAATGATGTCAGTGATGTCATTAGACGAACGAGTTATTAATAAGTCCAGGATATGACCTTTATGATGTGTTGGCATGGCGACATGTTGGATGAGATTGGCAGTTTCAAGAATTGTGTTTAGTTGAGCGGAATGAATATCGTTCTTATTATCCATGTGAAAGTTGAAGTCCCCGGCAATCAAAAGTTTGCCGGCTGAAAGAGATTGGTACGACAATAGAGTGGTGAATTCATCAAAGAATTGACTAGCTTTAAATTTATTCTTCTGACTTGGTGGTGGACGGTAGATGATAATCAACTTCCAGTGGTCAGTATCGGAGCTTAGGTGCACTTGCATATATTCAAATGATTTAACAATAAGTTGTTGTTTTTCCTTGGCAATTTTCAGGTTGGTTTTTGACAAAACAGCAACACCGCCGCCCATGCGTGATGTTCTTGGTATGTGATGTAATTTATAATATGTATAATATATCAAAGCAATTGGACTTGCGGTTTTCAACAAGAAGTCGAAAATATCACTTTTTACCAAAAATTACAAAAATATTCATCAAAATTAGAGAATTAAAGATATCATCATGAAATGAACAAATCTGAGAGAGGTCCACATGTAGTACCTATATATGTAATACCAAAGCAATTGGACTTGCGGTTTTCAACAAGAAGTCGAAAATATCACTTTTTACCAAAAATTACAAAAATATTCACCAACATTAGAGAATTAAAGATATCATTACAAAATGAACAAATCTGAGAGAGGTCCACATGTAGTACCTATATATGTAATATCAAAGCAATTGGACTTGCGGTTTTCAACAAGAAGTCGAAAATATCACTTTTTACCAAAAATGACAAAAATATTCACCAAAATTAGAGAATTAAAGATATCATTACAAAATGAACAAATCTGAGAGAGGTCCACATGATGTAGTACCTATATATGTAAGATCAAAGCAATTGCACTTGCGGTTTTCAACAAGAAGTCGAAAATATCACTTTTTACTAAAAATGACAAAAATATTCACCAAAATTAGAGAATTGAAGATATCATCATGAAATGAACAAATCTGAGAAAGGTCTATCCAAGGTACATATACACCAAGTATCAAAGCATTCAGGCTTGTAGTTTTCAAGAAGAAGTCGAAAAAGTAAAACATTGACACGGACGACGACAGACGACGACGGACGACGACGGACAATCACTCATATGATAAGCTCCGCTCGACAAAGTTGACAGCGGAGCTAAAAATTTTAATATACACCGCTGTTAATACACCACGATTAATATTCACCTTATTAGAAATATAATCATAGATTCGAAGAAACTAACTGAAAAACTAGATAAGTAAATGCTGCAATTTTGAAATCACAGCAAGTGCAGATTTTAAAGTAAATCAATTATTTTAATACAGAGTTCAGTTGATTCTTGATGCAACTACAATATGCAGTGTGTCATGCAAATACATCTGAAAGTACTGATTTTATGGCACATGTGACCTTTGACACATGACCTTTAACCTCTGAACCTACCCTAAATGATGTGAGAAGATCTAAAAACAAATTCATCATTTCCACTACAGTGTCCTCTTCTCTTGCACTCTGGAAAAAAAAGAAGAAATACTTTGTAAGTGCGATTTAAAAACTGCAAACTATTCATAGTCTGTGTTCATAAACATCAGTTAATGAGATCATCACACAGTTTGGTTTTTATGTTTTTGTCAGAATTTTACCAAAAAAAAATAAATAAAAAGAAAATTCAATTCTTATAAAACATCAAAGCACATATTTTTGAAAACTTAATTGACCATAATCATTTCTCTTTATGGCCCTGGTTGACAGAAACAGGCAGCCTCCCACTTTTCTCCTCATTGGGTGGCAAATTATAACTAATTTGCATATGAAATATATTTTAAATAATGTCTTATTATTTTGTCTTGCAAAAGTACAAGCACCATGATGGATGAATGGTTCTGAGAAAAAGAAATGAATTCATAATGCAACATATGCTAATGAGCTAAACACATCGGTTAACTTTGTTACAGTTAATATCCAGCAATCAATTTGGAAACATGTCACAAACAACTGATGTGGATTTGCATCATTTATGAGCACATTAATAGATCAAATGAATGTAAAACCATCACAGATAATCCTTTCAGTTGGAACAGCTGATAAAACCATGCAACCAACTATCTCCAATGAGAATATTTTAGGTTAAAAACATGATTATGACCACGCCCCTTTTTGTTTCCACTCCTTTACTTTACTATAAAATACTATATTTGTGTTTTCTCAGAGCAAAGAAGGTCAAAATCATTAGCCTGTACTAAGAAAACATGTGTGAATCCCTAGTATGGGCTAGGAAATGTCTAGTACATACTAAATCTACCGCTTTATCAGCCCCATAGTATGGGCTAATAATTATGCGCTTTCTGAGATGACTGAAGGCAACAAAAGACAATCTATATTCATTGTCCATTTGAAAGATTTACTAAAATATTTATAACTATTTAGTTTGCTATGTCATTTCCAACATTACAAGCAAAATGAGCACAACTGATCCAAACTTTGTTTTCAAGAAAGAAACGGATCAATGATATTAAAATGCAACAGAAGGAATGCAGCTTCTACTAAAGCATCTACATATACGAGAGATTTTTGGTTCTCAATTGTTCAAAAAGAATACTGTAAAATGACTAATTTTCATTGGGTTTAATTTTCACTGATTTATCATTTCAGGCATATTCAGTGGGTCTTAAATTCACGATTTCGTCATTTAGATAATGTGTTCTATGCTAAATTTTACATATTCACTGGGTTTTAATTTAGCGCATTTTCCAGTCAGCGAAATAAGCTAAATTAAAACCCAGTGAATAATTACCCCCTTTACAGCAGGCACTGCTTCTACTAGAGACAGTTTGTATAATCGTAGTGAATTTGGTTGTCCCTTAGACCATACTAAGTGTAGGTCCATTCCATGAGTGTGAGAGGGTAAGAGTCAGGAAGCAAAAATGCAGACATGGGTTTGAAACAATGGAAATTACACATCTAGTGATTAGTCCTGACGATTAGTCCTCATTGTTGTATCAAGATGGCCATCATTTTAATAGTCATAGAAACTATGACACTACAAACATTGGATACACAGCAACTTGTTTCAAATATACATTGTTTGTAAAGACATTCCTGGTCATATAAATGTGGGATCAGAGCGTAGCTTGAACATAACATACCATATCTGAGATAACACCTGATGCTCTCACCTGTTGTGCACATTTATCTGCAATGCCAGCAAACTCCACAGATAATGGTTTAAATCCTCTTTTCAAATCAGACCATGTGTCGTTATTACCGCATGCCCAGGCTGACGAAGGTGGTGTGTCTTGCGAAAGATAAGTTAATTCTTTACAGACTAGTAACATATCACTAGCTTGTTCTACAAAAGAAAACAACGTTATACTAGTAATAGGGCCATGGCTTGATATAGTACTCTATGTGATTGTTTCAATACCAAATGTTGGTCATCATTACTGTCACCATCATATTGTTCTGAACATCAAAACAGCAATATAGTCAGCTAAGTTGCTGACTGGTTTGTTATGCGCGCATGGAGATCATTACATGATTACAATAAGTTGGATCAAACCAACCTTGACTGGAGACATCAAACTAATAGTGGGGGACTCAGACACGTTGAATATAAATAAAAGGTCACGATGCAATTGCATTTCGATTTATTTCATTCAGGAAATAAATTCATCGTGTAAATTGCTCTATAATAAAAGGTAAAATCATGCAAACAAAATTTATGTACTGAACACAGTCCTAGGTGTGTCTGGTGCGTGTCATAATGCTCGTAAACGTGTGCAAAATGGCGCACAGTTCTAATCATGAGATGCACGTTTCAAACAAGTAAGCAACTTAGCTGGCAATGTTGCTGCTATGGCAGTGACAGTGAATTTTTAACAATAACCTGAAAGTTAACATTAAAATAAGAAGAAAACAACAATAAATTGATGAAGATTGCAATAATTTTATGATGAAAGGATTGTACCAACCTGCTGATCTTCTTGCCATTCGCTCCGCCATTTCCTTCATTTTTGTAAATGCCGAAAACATGGCACGGATTTGTTCCTTGGCGTTCCCAAACTGAAGCTGAGTATCAAGGGGAACCAAGTCCTGTAGAAAATTGAATTCAAATCATTTTTTAAAATCCATTTTTGAGCAATTTTCTGAGAACATGATAATAAATATGAATAACAAGCAGCCTGTCGGCTGAGATAGCTCCGCTGTTAGCAATGCACATTGCAATTAAAGAACAGAAGATATCATTAGAAAATGAACAATATGTATAGTATCAAAGCAATCGGACATGCTGTTTTCAACAAGAATTCAAAAATATCACTTTTCACCAAAAATGAAAAAAAAAAGATATCATCATGAAATGAACAAATCTGAGAGAGGTCTACCCAAGGTACATATACACCAAGTATCAAAGCATTCAGGCTTGTAGTTTTCAAGAAGAAGTTGAAAAAGTAAAACATTGACATGGACGACGATGGACAATCACTCATATGATCAGCTCCGCTCGACAAAGTCGACAGCGGAGCTAATAAATATGAATAAAAATAGCACAGTTGGTTTCCAAAGCTTCATCCCTGAATGTTTACAACACTAGAGATATTCACATCATTTCTAATAACTGTAATATCTAAGCAATCATCAGAAGTAGTATTTAAACTTTGAACAGCAGAATTTTATGCATTTTCTATAATTTCTTTTTTGGAAATTTCAATTGTTTGCACAGAGTGACAAAATTGCGGTGGTTTATTTTGTGAAAGTTGATAAATGTTGACTTTCAAAGAGTTAAGTTCACATTCATTACCTTGGCTTGCGCTGCCAGACAACTAGTCATGAATTCATCTGGAATTCCACGAAATAATTCTTTCAATTTATGTTGCATATCCTATAGATGAGAAAAAATACATTTGGATGAAACTGATGAATATTTAAAAAAGCTGTTAGTGCACAGAACACGTTCGTCAGTTTGACAGTATAAAGTTAGAAAACATATCACACTGGGAAATGGTTAAAACTGCAATGGAGATTTATTTTCCTTCATGATGTCTTTTCTTTCGTTCCTGTTTTAGCATATAATACTGTCCTTTTGTGACGTAGACTTTTGTAATGAATTTATTTAAAAAGCTGTATGTAATATGAGTCTCATGAATTGTGAGTAAAATACATTGTTTATACAAAATTTGGATGCACATTCCACAATAAACAAGACTCAATGAAAATAAAATAATAAAATTATTAAATATCAATTTCAGAATACTTACAGATCCTTGAAACGTGAAGAAAAATTTAAGAATAGGACTATCACGAAACACTGGATGACGAGAAACTAACGTTAGAAATCTACGCAGCGACTTCCTTCTCGCTTCAATAAATTCACGATCAGCTGAAAAAAAAAAGTTGAAGATTAGAATAAAGATTTATGATAAATTAAAAATATCATAATGAGAAACTGTCTTAAGTCAAAATACTGTAATTGTGAAGATAAATTCAAAGTTAATGTGACTTTTGAAAAACGAAGTACAGTATACGTTGCAAAAATTTAATGGCTGTACATTGTTTTTTTACACATCATTCTTTTTCTTGTCACTTGGAAAGCCGACTGAGGCAACTGAACAGAATATACCAGAAACCTGTGAACTAATAATATATGTATCACAGAGCTGCTACAAGAAAAATACATGTACGGTCCTTTACCTCCAAGCATTTTCTTTGGTGGTAACCTTGGTACAAGTCGATAGGGAAATCTCTGCAGTAACATTTCTTGAAAAGCTAAAAAATCATTGTAACGTCGCATTGCTGTAGATTTAAATGCCTGGAAAAAAAAGAATAAAATATTCAACAAGTAGTACACATACTTTCTGTGGCAGTTTAAGCTAGTATCACTGGTAGACTAAGACTGGTAGACTAAGACAGGTAGCCTACTGTGACAGGTCGTCTACCACTGGTGGACTGGGATAGGTAGCCTACCACTGGTGGACTGGGATAGGTAGCCTACCACTGGTGGACTGAGACAGGTAGTCTACCACTGGTGGACTGAGACAGGTAGCCTACCACTGGTGGACTGAGACACGTAGTCTACCACTGGTGGACTGAGACAGGTAGCCTACCACTGGTGGACTGAGACAGGTAGTCTACCACTGGTGGACTGAGACAGGTAGCCTACCACTGGTGGACTGAGACAGGTAGTCTACCACTGGTGGACTGAGACAGGTAGTCTACCACTGGTGGACTGAGATAGGTAGCCTACCACTGGTGGACTGAGACAGGTAGTCTACCACTGGTGGACTGGGATAGGTAGTCTACCACTGGTGGACTGGGATAGGTAGTCTACCACAAGTGGACTGAGACAGGTAGTCTACCAATAGTGGACTGGGATAGGTAGTCTACCACTGGAAGACTGAGACAGGTAGTCTACCAATAGTGGACTGGGATAGGTCGTCTACCACTGGTGGACTGAGACAGGTAGTCTACCACTGGTAGACTGAGATAGGTCGTCTACCACTGGTGGACTGAGATAGGTCGTCTACCACTGGTGGACTGGGATAGGTCGTCTACCAATGGTGGACTGAGACAGGTAGCCTACCACTGGTGGACTGAGATAGGTTGTCTACCACTGGTGGACTGAGATAGGTTGTCTACCACTGGTGGACTGAGATAGGTTGTCTACCACTGGTGGACTGAGATAGGTTGTCTACCACTGGTGGACTGAGATAGGTAGCCAACCACTGGAAGACTGAGACAGGTCGTCTACCACTGGTGGACTGAGACAGGTAGCCTACCACTGGTAGACTGAGACAGGTAGTCTACCACTGGTGGACTGAGACAGGTAGCCTACCACTGGTGGACTGAGACAGGTAGTCTACCACTGGTGGACTGAGACAGGTAGTCTACCAATAGTGGACTGAGACAGGCAGCCTACTAATAGTGGACTGGGATAGGTTATCTACCACAAGTGGACTAAGACAGGTAGTCTATCAAGGGTGGACTGAGACAGGTAGCCTATCAAGGGTGGACTGAGACAGGTAGCCTACCAATAGTGGACTGGGATAGGTTATCTACCACAAGTGGACTGAGACAGGTAGCCTACCAATAGTGGACTGGGATAGGTTATCCACCACAAGTGGACTGAGACAGGTAGTCTACCAATAGTGGACTGGGATAGGTAGTCTACCACAAGTGGACTGAGACAGGTAGCCTACCAATAGTGGACTGGGATAGGTAGTCTACCACAAGAGGACTGGGACAGGTAGTCTATCACTGGTAGGACTGAGACAGGTAGTCTATCACTGGTATGACTGAGACAGGTAGTCTATCACTGGTAGGACTGAGACAGGTAGTCTATCACTGGTAGGACTGAGACAGGTAGTCTATCACTGGTAGGACTGAGACAGGTAGTCTATCACTGGTAGGACTGAGACAGGTAGTCTATCACTGGTAGGACTGAGACAGGTAGTCTATCACTGGTAGAATGGGACAGGTAGTCTGTCACTGGTAGAATGGGACAGGTAGTCTATCACTGGTAGAATGGAACAGGTAGCCTACCACTGGTGGACTGAGACAGGTAGTCTATCACTGGTAGGACTGAGACAGGTAGTCTGTCACTGGTAGAATGGGACAGGTAGTCTATCACTGGTAGAATGGAACAGGTAGCCTACCACTGGTGGACTGAGACAGGTAGTCTATCACTGGTAGGACTGAGACAGGTAGTCTATCACTGGTAGGACTGAGACAGCTAGTCTATCACTGGTAGGACTGAGACAGGTAGTCTATCACTGGTAGAATGGGACAGGTAGTCTATCACTGGTAGAATGGAACAGGTAGCCTACCACTGGTGGACTGAGACAGGTAGTCTATCACTGGTAGGACTGAGACAGGTAGTCTGTCACTGGTAGAATGGGACAGGTAGTCTATCACTGGTAGAATGGAACAGGTAGCCTACCACTGGTGGACTGAGACAGGTAGTCTATCACTGGTAGGACTGAGACAGGTAGTCTATCACTGGAAGAATGGGACAGGTAGTCTATCACTGGTGTACTGGGATAGGCAGTCAACCACTGGGGGATTGGAACAGGTAGTCTATCACTGGTAGGACTGAGACAGGTAGTCTATCACTGGTAGAATGGAACAGGTAGCCTACCACTGGTGGACTGAGACAGGTAGTCTATCACTGGTAGGACTGAGACAGGTAGTCTATCACTGGTAGAATGGGACAGGTAGTCTATCACTGGTAGAATGGAACAGGTAGCCTACCACTGGTGGACTGAGACAGGTAGTCTATCACTGGTAGGACTGAGACAGGTAGTCTGTCACTGGTAGAATGGGACAGGTAGTCTATCACTGGTAGAATGGAACAGGTAGCCTACCACTGGTGGACTGAGACAGGTAGTCTATCACTGGTAGGACTGAGACAGGTAGTCTATCACTGGAAGAATGGGACAGGTAGTCTATCACTGGTGTACTGGGATAGGCAGTCAACCACTGGGGGATTGGAACAGGTAGTCTATCACTGGTAGGACTGAGACAGGTAGTCTATCACTGGTAGGACTGAGACAAGTAGTCAATCACTGGTAGAATGGGACAGGTAGTTGTGGTTGAGAAGGGATGGTATGTACGTATTCACTGTTGCAGTCAAAAAACAACTGGTTTATTCACTAAGATATCTACGATTAAATAATAGTACAGGCACGTGATAGCACGTGAAATAGCAAATAAACTTAAATGTGACCCAGGTGTCGAGAGGATTAAGCCGTTCGGCCTTGTATCTGATAATACTGTGGTTATGTAATAGTAATGTTTGCATCATGTCTATTCCCAACAGTTGTCTATTACTGGTAGACTGGGACAAGTAGTCTTTCACTTGTGCCCTGGGTTACTGGTAGACATCCTGTCACTGATACGACTTTTCCTACAATTCAACAGGAACATGCCTTCAGCAACTGTATCAATTTCTATCACAACCTGCTCTAATTAATGGTGTTATGAGAACATTACAGGACATTAACCCTTATTATTTCTTTACTTTGTCTGTGTAACCATGACAACAAATCTAATCACAATAAATAGCCGTATTTTTACATAACAGGCAGAAATATGAATACAAACATTCAGTGTTCTCCACGAGGGGTTTTAGCAGGGCGCAGCGCCCTGCATAGGAAGACGTGTGCCCTGCATAGGTAGTCGTGCGCCCTGCATCGGTCAACAAGCGCCCTGCATTCACATTTCCCGCCTCGATCAAATACATTGTATTGTTAGTTGAGTATTCAGTGTTCTCCACGAGGGGTTTAAGAGCTCTTTAATTTATTTGCGCCCCTCTTCAATTTGTAGCGCCTATCTATTTATCTTCAGCACCCTTCTTTGTTTTCGGTGACAGGCTGTTTCACAGTCCCGGAAGATGTCCCGCCGTTGTTATTGAGAGACCTCTTATTAATTGACAGGCGCTAAAACAAAGAACTAAGAGACAGATAGTGGCATAGGTGACAACTAGGACAACACAACTATTATGTAATATCTCACATGTATACAACAAATTACCTAGTACCGGTATCTGTATTGCCTCCCTATAATGGAACGCAAGTTGCTCATAATAATTTTAGGTACCACAGAATACAAAGAAATGGATATCATATATTAACAAGTGAATGAGTGAACATCTAATGAGTAAATTGTTTAAATATTCATGGCTATTTTAAATTAGTAGATTTGCATTTGGCATTTATATACAAACTCTTTTAAGGTTGACACAGACAATGAAATAAACACAAGTATTAAGCGTCACCAGTTCAACCAATTCCATGTTTTGAATTTAAAATATTACTGTTTGTGTCAGAACCTGAAGAGTTCATGTTACAGCAATACAGAGTGGATACAAAATCTAATCCTATGTGTATGTGCCCAGCCTATCAATTGAAGTCAAACCAGAGATGGAAGAATCCCCAAGGTCAGAAGGTTACTGCTCCATCAATAGCATTTGAGTGAAGATGCCAGGTGTCAAATCTAAGAACTAAGATTACCGTGACACACAGAGTGGTGATGAAAAACACAGAGTAAGTTCAGCAACAGGAAATGCCACACTATTTTTAACATTCAATCAATTATTTTTCTATAAAGTGAGAAGCAAAAAATAGTTGCTTAGCTATTTCAGAGCTGGAAACCACTTTTTATTAAGAGATTTGGAAAAAGTGATCAAAATCATAATAAAACAAACATTTTAATAACTGAAACATTAATATAGAAATTGTTTCATTTCAACAAAATGTAGAAAAATGTTTAACACTTTGATGGACATCGTTTTGTTCACCAATTCAATCCTACAATATGTTTCTTATTATTTTCTATAATTTCTTTAAAAAATATGGAACAATTTTGGCTAAATTAACTTTGACAAAAAATATGGAACAATTTTGGCTAAATTAACTTTGACAAAAAATATGGAAGAATTTGAGCTAGTTTAATTTTGAAAAAATATATGGAACGATTTGGCTAGATTATTTTAGTTTAGTATGCTACTTCATACGAAAAGTATTAATACTGTGGACTGAGTACAAAATACAGCTGTTTATGAGAAAGATGATTAATTTTTGTAGCAACTATTACATAAACATGTAACAACTGGAGATAACAAATTTCAACTTGTCTCCATGATGTATAGGAACATTTCGGATTCGCTGACCTACTGTTTACAGTAGCCACAAGCCGGTGCCAACAATAATTGAAAGCCAACTGCTCAGTCAAAACCCAAGCATTTAGACATTTCGCTGGCAAGCTTGCAAACTGGCTGCCCTAATACTTCAGTGACTTGCTGTAAAAAATATGTCTTTCTAATAACTAAATATCTCATAATTATATCAATTAAGCAGTGTATATGAATACTAAATATCATATACATATATTTTCTTAATTGATATGCGTATTGTTTCAACGATCACTCTATAAAGATTAATATTTACATGCAGGAAAACAGCCGCCAGATGGAATTAATTAATGTGATTACAAGATAGGAATACATATGTAGGCTAAAATGTTTATTTAAAAAAAAAATTGTATATTTTTTTCACTCATTTCCTGACATTTTAATTATTTCAAAATATGTCTGAATTGAGCAATACTGAAAACAATTTTGGCTACCGACAATTTTCTTAATTTTGTCCGAATGTTCACAAACGTCATTCTCACTTTGTTTAAAGATAATAAGAATACACAGCTACAAATTTTCCACATTTTCCAAATTATTGTCGACTAATGTTACCTTTTACTTCTTGCTTTGAGCATCATGCATGGTGAATCACACGAGTACAATTTGAGTGGTTACTCTGCAGTAACAATGTTCATTTAAATCCTAGTATCAACACAGACATTTGTTTACACTGTTTAGGAATGTGGTGGTCTGAAGAGAACATGATTTCAGCAAGAATATCATCACGAACATTAAAAAAAAAAAATAGTTGACTCACCTGGCTAGTGACTTCATACTCGTTATGTTTTAAAATTAATCCTCTCTTTTCTGGTGCTAGTTCTACTTTTATATTGTCTAAGTCGCATAGTTCATGGTATGAATAACCCAGTAAGTTAGGGTTGTGTTCTCTTCTCACTTGAATACTAAGTGATTTCAGGTCTGAGAGATCACCTAATGATGGCTTGGGTAACTCTGAAAAAAAAAAATGAGAATGAATGTAGGAACCAAAAGCACTGGGAAATCATATAATGATGGTTTGGCTAAATCTCAAAGTAAGGATGAAGGAACTAAAATGCCATGTGTGTGGTTGGTAATATTACTGTCATATTAACTGTAATATTATTGCTGGAGTTATGTCGAGTACAGGAAAACAAAAATGTTGTCAATTTTCTCAGCAATTTTAAACAAGCAGCCTGTCGGCTGAGATAGCTTTGCTGTTAGCAATGTACATTTCAATTAAGAACTGAAGATATCGTTAGAAAATAAACAATATGTATAGTATCAAAGCAATCAGGTTTTTAACAAGAAGTCGAAATTGTCACCCTTTACCAAAAATGACAAAAATATTCATCAAAATTGGAGAATTGAAGATATCCTCACGAAATGAACAAATCTGAGAGAAGTTCACATGTAGTACCCTATATATGAAATATCAAAGCAATCGGACTTGTGGTTTTTAACAAGAAGTCGAAAATATCACTTTTTACCAAAAATGACAAAAATATTTATCAAAATCAGAGAATTAAAGATATCATCGCAAAATAAACAAATCTGTGAGAGTTCCACATGTAGTACCTGTATATGCAATATCAAAGCAATCAGACTTGCTGTTTTTTACAAGAAGTTGGAAATATCACTTTTTACAATAAATATTCACCAAAAATAGAGAATTTGAGATTTTGACATGAAATGAACAAATCTGAGAAAGAACTACTCTAGGTAATTGCATATCAAATTTGAAAACATTCTGACTTGCGGTTTCGAAGAAGAAGTTGAAATTGTAAAGTTGACGACGACGGACAATCAGGAATATGAACAGCTCCGCTGTGTCGACTTTATCGACAGCGGAGCTAAAAGGTGGGCCAAATAAAAATGTGTGCAATGTGATAAAAAACACAACAAAGGCATATCAACTATTTGCCACACGAAGTTAACGATGAAGACGACAACACCACAACATATTACCCTTTATATCTTGTGATTAAGGCTGGGGGGGGGGATGCTGTGGTACATAATAGAACTGTTTATAATGCCATTTGAGATCTCATAATGCAGAGATATGTCAATACCAGGCAAAGCTTTCAATAAAATTACAAAAAAAAAAACATTTTCATTGTGTGTTGAGTCACAATTATTACTGTAGACAAATATTGACAGTAATAGAATGGTTCAAGTTATTTATAATTAAAGAAAGCAATTTGATACATTTCGATTTTCATTTCATTTTAATGAACTGAGAATAACATTGTAAATTATTGATTGAAGCTACATCAACACTTTTCCTTAGTAATATTTTATTGGTCTATAGAAAAATTGTGTTTGTTACCGAGTGTGATATTGTATGATGTTGGTAGATTTAGTGTCTAAAAACAAAGTAAACCTGTTAATGAGATTTTAGTGAAACAACATTTCATACATGAATATCTCCCAGTAAATAAAAACAGAAATGACAAAATGATCAAAAGCATTGCAAGTTTTGAAATTGCAAGAAATGAAATGATATTGCATAATGTTTCTTGTACATGTATATCTTTATAGTTTTTGTCTGTATATATTTATCACTAAAACTGATAGAAATATTCTTTTCCTTTTTTCCAAGAAGCATGCGAGTATAAAAGAGTGAAATGTACAAAGCAGGAGTCACTTTAAATGTTGAACTTTCTACACTCTAGAGAGGTCCTAAAGTATATCATTTGGAATGGTTCACATATTTTCAATTGAATAAAAGAAATACAATTAACCCCGTCACTGAAGCAGCCTTTTCCACACGACATTTAGAATTCTCAAACATTTTTTTTTAGAATTTTAATGTCAATTTTTATTCAAGCCGACACATTTATCAACTTTTATTTAAATTGTGAATTGTGGCAAATACTGTCAATGCTGGTGAAATACTTGACATATTAGTTGTGGAAGACAAGCAGTCTGTCGACTGAGATAGCTCCGCTGTTAGCAATGCACATTTCAATTAAAAACTGAAGATATCGTTAGAAAATAAACAATATGTATAGTATCAACACAATCAGACACAATCAACAAAAATTCAAAAATATCACTTTTCACCAAAAATGACAAAAATATTCATTAAAATTAGAGAATTAAACTTATCATCGCGAAATGAACAAATCGGAGAGAGGTTAACATGTAGTACCTATATATGTAATATCAAAGCAATTGGACTTACGGTTTTCAACAAGAAGTTGAAAATATCACTTTTTACCAAAAATGACAAAAATATTCACCAAAAGTAGAGAATTGAAGATATCATCATGAAATGAACAAATCAGAGAGAGGTCTACCCAAGGTACATATACACTAAGTATCAAAGCATTCAGGCTTGTAGTTTTCAAGAAGAAGTCGAAAATGTAAAACATTGACACGGATATCATATGATGAGCTCCGTTCAAGAAAGTCAACAGCGGAGCTAAGAAGTAGTAATGGCCAGTGGTGGTAGGTCTCAAATTTGTGTCAGATTATTGTAAACATTAGTTTTTTCCATTTGGAAGTTGTTTTTTATTTTTATTGTCAACGTTTTTATGCAACATTTTGCATATTTATGATTTTCCTTTCATTTTTTTTATTTAATTTTGAACCAAATGAATATGCGAGAGAAAATGATACAGATTTATTTTTGTGAAAAATGACAAAAGGTGATTTTGCATTTCTCTGACATTTTAATATTATATGTAGAAATGTTAGGGACGACGTCAAAAGATCGATGTCGGATAAAAAACTTATTTCCTTTAGTTTGGGGGTGGGGGGTTTTGACCTCAAAAAGTTTCCATCCTACAAAAACGATTTTATTTTTTAATGAAGTCAAAAAAATCTTGGAGTATTTGTAGTTCTATCCAATCATGGACAGAACTAACCGAAAAGGGGAAAAAACAGAAAAATGGTTTGGTTGGAGTGTAAATCTGTGCGTCAAATGAGGTGCATTTATAAACTCTTTCTACACCCACCCGACAACCAACTGCTATGCAATACTACTGTCTGATTATCAATTTGTATTTAATGGTGAATGGTGAATGTAGTCTGACGCCATGACCAATATTTGTCAATTAAGTTTCAGTAGGGGGTGGGG